TTCCCCAGCCAGCATGCTGGCTGGGGAATTCTGGGAGTTGAAGTCCACACATTTTAAAGTTACTGAGGTTGAGAAACATTGTATTAAGCAGTGGAACAGCGTGCCTCCTGACATCATGGGTGCTCAATCACTGGAAGTTTTCAAGAAAAATTGGACAACCATTTATTCAGGATGGTCTGAGGATTCCTGTACCAGCCTGGGCATTGGGACTAGAAGACCTCCAAGGTCCCTTCCAATGCTATGATTCTATGAACTAATCAATTCCAAGGACATCATCAAAAGAAAAGTAATTCTGAAATACTTGTAAAGGATTATACAGATATAGACTGCAGCCTATATCCAAACCTACAGTACTCCAAAGCATCCAATTAAAGAAATCAAATCAGATTTTGAACATATTGAGGGTATTCTTTTGTCAAGATACATGAAAAATCAGAGGATTAGAAGCAACAGTTATGAGGATTCCTACAAGTAAGAAAAAAGTGAAAATTTCAGTATTTTACACATTCAGCCTCTCCAAAATTTAAAAGTTAAGCGCTCACCAAAGAAATCAAAAGAGAATGGGTCTCTTCCACCAAAGAACTCCCTGAAGACATCCTCTGGATTCCGGAATGTAAAACCATATTCAAATGGACTGTCAAAATGGCTTCCACCTATAAAAAGAGTATTCAATGTTCCATTTTTCAGTATATTAAAATATTCATTATATAATTTAGCAAGAACATAATTTCAAATGACTAATTAGTATTGTATTTCATGGATTTTTGTCCTTTTATCAAGCTCAGGGCAGCATCTGTGATTCTCTTATTTTTCCTTCTCAAAATCCTTGCTAGATTAAAGATAACAGAAAGATGATGGGAGCCTCAGGAACAAGTAAAAATATTGATTAGATTTAATCATAGTTTGAGTACACTACTGAAATCCATAGAATCTGAGTCACTATTATCTGAATCTCCACTTATTTCTTTAAGACAGGATCCAGCTTTAGATTTCCAATGTCCCACTCTAACCAGTACACACACCTATTAAAATGCGTTTATAGCATTGTTTCAAACATTCACTTTTTAAAATTAATTTCTATTGAAGAATTTTTTACAGAGTAAAAACAATACAAATTTTAAAAAGAAAATAGAGATAAATGGTAAGTAAATAAGAAATAAATAAAAGAAAAAATAGAAAAGAAAAAGAAAAACATAAAGCAGCAGCTTCTGATCTTCTTTACAGCAGTTATAAATGTATTTCTACATTATCCTCTCACTCGAAAATTATCTCGTGGCTCCCTTCTTTCCATATTCTACCCTTTCTAATCATCAAACCTATAAATTGTTCCACAAACATTTACATTAAAAAAAAAATAGGAACAGTGGTATTAAATCCTTACATACCTCCTCCTCCATTTAACCCTTCTTTTCCATATTTGTCATAGATATCTCTCTTTTTAGCTGCAAAGAACAGGAAGTAGTTAAAATACAAATATACAAATCCAAGACAAATTATCTTGATGATCTCACATTTGCTATTTGCTCTGTTCTAGTGGATTCCCCTTCACCTCCAAGCACAACAGCAAAGTTCCCTGACTTTTAAAAGACCAAGTTGAGGACAGAGAGGAATTTTTTTTTATATTGCATTTTAATTGATTTTATCTTTTCTGTAAACCACCCAGAGTCACTTTTTAATGAGATGGGTGGTGACAAATTTGATAGATAGATAGATAGATAGATAGATAGATAGATAGATAGATAGATAGATAGAGGACAAGTCAGCCTCTTCTTTGAGTACTTCTTTTAAATTCACCTCTGGTATTTGCCACAAATCTGAAGACTATGAAAAAGTTTCAGGGAATACATTCTATTTTCATTCATCATAGTGAAATCATCAAGATATAACCCTTAAGTAGGACCAAATATGAAACAAAACTTACAACATCCTTCTCTGAATGAATAATTTGACTTTTAAGTTATGCAGCAAAATATTCCTATTTCTTCTTAAATTTAGTTACAAGTTAGCAAAATGTGTAATGTGACAGGTTGAGGAAGGCTTTCCTAAATCTTGCAACCGCTTTAATATTTCTTCAGAACCTCTATATTAATCATATGACAGGGACTCCTAAACTTTTTGCCATCACACCTCCCTTCAGCCTACAGGTGGTCCTCAGTTAATGACCACTTGTATAGCAACCATTCAAACTTACAATGGTGATGAATGAGTGATACCGGTCCTCGAAATTCTGGCCATTGCAGCACCCCCGTGGTCACATGATCGTGAATTGCAACCTTTCCTGCTATCTTCCCACAAGCAAAGCCAATGGGGAAGCTAGCAGGAAGTCAGGTCATGGGCATGTGAGGTACTAGCTTAATGACCTGCGGTGATTTGCTTAATGACAGTAACCAGGGTCTGCTGGAACTGCCATCACTAAGCAGCATGGCCACATGACATCATACTTTATGACCACATCACTTAGTGATGGAAATTCCAGTCCCAAGTTCCATCATTAAGCAAGGACTATCTGTAATCTTATTGTACACATCTCCTCCAAAAATCCAAACACCAAAATGAACACAAATGAACAGTGAAAACAATACAATGAAACTTTGAGAAAAAAATGGAAACCATTGATGGACTATTTGCAAAATGCAGGTGGGGTGAAGCTTACATGGGGATTTGAAGATTAGATTATAAATGTAATGGGATATGTTTTGACAAAGAATTATTCCTACTTAATGCATTAAAAACTAGCACTTATGATACTCTTATTATTCCTAAGACCAGAGATAGATTGGAAGTTATCTATTTTTCATATCTTTTTTCTTTTTCTTTTACATATGTTTTGACAAAGAATTATTCCTACTTAATGCATTAAAAACTAGCACTTATGATACTCTTATTATTCCTAAGACCAGAGATAGATTGGAAGTTATCTATTTTTCATATCTTTTTTCTTTTTCTTTTACCTTATCTCACCTTTTA